TCAGTTCTCCCAAAATTTCAGCTGTATGTTTATCAGGATGACATTAAATCTATATATCAATGGAAAGCTGAATATTGTAAAGCATGGATTAGGTTATGCTATCAATTGATTTGGGCTTTTTCTAAGCATTTTTTTGTTTTAAGTTTAGTGGGATTGTACATCTATTAGTTTTGTTGTAAATGAATAGTGTTATTTAAAAAAAAGAAAATTTTTCCATTTCTTTATTTCTGGTATGTGGAATATAGTTTACATTTTGATGGCCTTATATTTAGAAAGCTTGCTAAGTTTGCTTATCATTGGTAATAAATTATAGATTAATTTGTAATTTCTATATGTAGAATTCTACAATCAGGTTAGTATTTATTTTATTTGATGCTGTTTTCACCATGAGTATGTATAATTTGATCAAATGTATTCTCAACAGCTATTGATATGACTTTGTATTTGGCCCAATTACACACACACACACACCCACACCAAGTATATATGCTTGTGTGTACTTGTATATGAAAACACACAATTGTATAGTTGGGCTTGATTTGTTACCTTTTTCTCAGGATACTTGTATTTGTATTTATACTTACATTTATAAGAGAAATATTTTTTCCGCAACATTTTTTTTCAAATTTTGAAAAGGATAACAAGGATAGTGATGGCCTGGTCAAATAAGGTAGCTAATGTTGTCTAACCTGGCTACATTTTGAATGCCTTTTCCCCATTATCTGTACTCTGTATCAATTTACTTGAAGTGCCACATAAGTTTTGGTTTAGTACCATTCATTACATCTGAAAAAATGCAAAATCTTAGACAAGGTTTAATCGTCTTTTCAGAAAGTGGGTTTATCTCTCCCCACAGTCAGACAGAATTATGTAACATATTTTTCCTACATGTAGAATAGGCTATGGTCATAGTTAAAAACTGACCATAGCTTTTGGCTGACCTCTCTGACCAAGTGAGATTTATCCCAGCAATGTAAAGAAGGTTCAATATTTGGAAATCAATAAATGTAATATACTATATCAGCAGAATGAAGGACAAAAACTCTGTGGTCTTCTCCTAGATGCAGAAAAGCATTGGATAAAATTCAACATCCTTTTATGATAAAAATTCTCAAAAATCAGGTATAGAAGAGTTGTAGTTGAGCACAATAAAGGTTAAGTTTGTCAAACCCACAAACAACATTGTAATGAATGGGGAAAAGCTGAAATCATTTCCTATAAGACCAGGAACAAGAAAAGGATGTCCATTTTCACCATCCTATTCAATATAGTATTGGAAGACTTGGTGAGAACATTAAGGCAAAAGAAAGAAAGAAATGTCACCCAGATCTGAAAGGAGAAGGTCAATTTTCCTTGTTTGAGGACAACATGATTTTATATATAGAAACACCTAAAAGACTCTAGTTAGAACTGATAAATTAATTCTGTAAAGATGTAGGATACAAAATAAATATATAAAAATTAGTAGTAAAAATTATGTATATATATATACAAATGTATATTATGTTGTATTAGATGTATTTGTATATTAGATTTATATAAACGATATGCTTGAAAGAAACATTGAAAGAAACAATGGGCTCAAATCTAAACTATATGAGCCTTTCACAAAAGAAGTTTTGCTAGACAACGGAATTATATCAAACTAAGAAGCTTCTACCCAGGAAAGGAAACAATCAGCATAGTGAGAAAACCAACAGCAGAAGTTGAGAGAATATTTGCAAAATATCCATTCAACAAGGACTCATTAATATCCAGGGTATATGAGAAACTCAAATAACTCAGTAGCAAAAACTCAAGTAACTTGATTCAAAAATAGGAAAATGGGGGTTGGGGTTTTAGAATGTTTGCATAGCATTCATTCAGCTCCAGTTTTGGTCTGCAGAAACACACACACATACTCAACTCAAATACTCTTAGGAGGCAGAGACAGGAGGGTGGAGAGTTCAAGGCCTGTATAGGCTACATAGTGAGAGCCTGTCTAAAAAAAAAGATAAAAATAAATTACTAAAATTAAAAATAGGAAAATAATCTGAATAGACATTTCTCAAAAAAATTCATACAAATAGCCAACAAGTATAAAAAATGCTCAGCATACTAAACATTAGTATGCTGAACATTAGGGAAATGCAAATTAAAACCACAATGAGAAATCATCTCATTACAGTTAAAATGTCTATTGTTAAAAAGACAAGAAATAAAATTGGCAAGGATATGGAGGAGGCGCATATACACTGTTCCTGAAAAAACTGAAAAATAGAGCTACTGTATGATCCAGCAGTCCCACTGTTAGGAATATAGCCAAAGAAATAAACTCATTATATCAGAGAAACTTGCATTTGCATGTTTATTGCAGCACTCTTCACAATAGCCAATGTGTGGAGTCAACCAAGGGTCCATTGACAGGTGAATGTGAAAGAGAATGTGGTGTATATGATAATGTGGTATTATTCAGTCACAAAAAGAATGAAATTCTGTCAGTTGCTGCAACATAGATGGAACTGGACATCATAACATAAAGTCAGATAAGCCAGGCACAGAAAGAGAAATACTGTATATTCTCATTCATAGGTGGAAGCTGAAATAGTCCCTTCCTCCCCCCTTCCTCCTTCCCATCCCTCCTTTCTTCCTTTCTTTTATTTTTGGCAGTACTGGGGGTTGTATTCAGGGCCTTGTGTTTGCTAACAGGTGTCATATCACTTGAATAACTCTAGTAGCTCCAAAACAGTTGAGGTTATAGAAGAAGAGAGTAGAATAGTGACCCCTTGAGGGTAAGAAGGGAAGGAACAGGGGGATAGGAAGAGATTAGATAATGAGAACCAAAATGCAATTAGACAAGGAGAGAAAGTTCTGTTGTTCCATGTTATGGTAGGGTGACTATTATGTATCCCAAAATAATTAGAAGAGAGGAGTTTAAAGTTTCCCAAAATGAACAAATACTATTACTCTGATTTTCTAGTTACACATTATATGCATATATTGAATTGTCACATTATATCTCATATATAATATAATTATATATCAATTGAAAAAGAAATGTTAATTTGTTTGATTATATGGTACTCCCCAGTTATTTGGAGTATCATAAAAATCTATGGTAAATTCATCATAATATCTTCCTAAACATCAAACAATTTGGAATTTGGAAATACAATTTGGCCTTTTTGAATGGAAATATCACTGCTCTTTTTTGGACATAGGGATCCTTTTCCATAAATGAAATTGATTAGACTAGGTAAGTTCTGTCATCTATTTCCACTCAACATTCCTTTTATCTGTCTGTTATATCCAGGGTATGACCATAATAACATCGCTGACTTCTGTGCTATATGATGACAAAGAATTTCCCAACCCAGAGATGTTTGACCCTGGCCACTTTTTGGATGAGAGTGGCAACTTTAAGAAAAGTGACTACTTTGTGCCTTTCTCAACAGGTATTACAAATTCATTTCCATTTGTATTGTGGAGAACAAGATAACATTTAAAGATCAAATTCAGTTTCCATGGTGCTTCCTCTGGGGCTGGTAGCATAATTGTTTGTACATTATCAGGAGCATGACTCCTAGAACCTGTGCACTTTCCCTGACTGTGATACATCCACCTTTTGGGCTACATTAGTTGGATATTGTCTAGTACTTTTTTAATTGAGAGAGCTAGAGTAAGGTGGATTGAATTCTGCCTCTGGATGTATCATCCAGCTGCCCAGGAACCTCTCTTACCATGAGAAATGTATCTAAGTCCACGTTTTGGTGGTGTCCTTAAATCCCAGATTGAGCTTTCAGGATGAAAGTGTTCTAGAGAATGTAATGGGCTCTTAAGATATTCCTGAGTTATTGAAGTAGATGAGTAAATAGATCATTGTGATCTAGTAAGGCTAGTGCTGTGAGAGAGGGATTTACAGGTTTCTCAGGAGGACAGAGATGGAAGTTGTTCACGTTCTTTTCTTTGGTACCCTAACACATTCTAACAGGAGAATGGACAGTTAAGCAGGCTTACAGGGAGCAAGGAAAGGACACACAACAGGGCACTTTACAGAGGTAATGGAACATAGGAGAGAACATTTTCTATAGATGTAGGGGGTCAGAACCTATCAATTCAATGAAGGCTGAGAATAACTTCAGACCATGGGGTGGTAACTCTGCAGTGATTCCAGAGCATCTTGATCTTCCTGTACTTGTAACCATACATCTTGGATATTCAGTCTCACTGCCAAATTGTGTATAGTGAGAATCTTAAACAAAGAGTCACCTTCATTTTTTGCTATGTATTTTGATGCCTATATTGGGTCTGGGAGTGTACATATCAAGAAGTGACAGACATAATTTGACAAAGAGGCAAAAAATAACAAATAGAATTCATGGTGATTCAAGATTCTGTGGAAGCACGAATATGATGAGGTGACCTATAAAGAGGGTGAAATTCTACTGCCTGAGGGAATCATAAGGATCATAGAGGGGAAATGACACAGGACACATGCCTTGAAGGAAGTATCAGACCAGTGATTCTTAGCTAAATGGGGCAGTATAAAGATGAGGCTTGTAACTGTATGTTGTTGGAGGTTGATGAAGAGGGGTCATGCCCATAGCTGAGAGCAGAAAATATGAGGAATGGAAGAAGTGAGACTGAACATCAGACAGGGACAGGATGTGAAGGGTCTGGTCAAGCCATTTGAACCTTACTTCATCGGACAGGTAGGGGAGCCATTTAAAGTTTTAAAGTGAGGGAATGACATGTTTAGGTAGGTGATTTTGAAATATGCTAGGGGTAAATATGTCTGTGCCTTTCTGTTGTGCTAGAGGAACAAAATGAAACAATATTTGAGTCACCTCCACTCAGCTCTCCAGAGAAGGAATATGAATGTTTTTTAGAAAAAAGATTGGTAAAAACTTGAAATATCAAAAGAGCAGTTTTAATGTGGCAATGGTTATTAAAATTGTGATATAGAGCTGGTACTCAATAAATATTTGGTGAATGAAGGGTGCCTGATAAGTTGAGATATAAAGTGGGCAGCAAGTGTGTCCAATATTGTGTGCCTCTGTCCAGCCAACCATCCTTCCACACATCCTGTATTCAACCCACCCTCTAATTAAGGAAGTTACTGCATCCTTTTTGTCAGTTCACAGCACAGTGTTTAAGGTACAAATCTGTGTTGTTTTTCTTTCCAGGAAAACGGATGTGTGCAGGAGAAGGCCTGGCTCGCATGGAGCTGTTTTTGTTCCTGACCACTATTTTACAGAACTTTTACCTGAAACCTCTGGTTGACCCAGAAAATATTGACACCAGTCCAGTTGCAAATGGGTTTGGCCATGTGCCACCTTCATACCTGCTCCACTTCCTTCCTGTGTGAATGGCAGTCTGCCTGGATGCTGCTGTGCTGTCACCTGCAACTTCTCCACAATGGGGCCCTTATCCACGTTCTTCCCAACATCATGGGTTCCTATTCTCAGCTCTTTTCACATATCTCTCCTTCTCTCATCCAGTTAACATACAATCCTCTTTAAGCAGAATTTTCCAGGCCACTGACCACATACATCTGCTATTCATTATATTCCATAGTCCTTGTATTGAACACCACAAGTGCTAATAATTATCTAATGCCAAGTTACTACTGGGTAACACTGTAAAACAGGAAAATGATTAGAATATGACAATTCAGAGCTATTTGTCCCCTGCATGTTCTGAATAAAACCTATTATCAATTACTGGGTCAGTTCTGAGACGTTCCTTTTGTGCATAATCCAAGTCAGAAATTAAAGAAAATAGAGTCTCAAGAGGTCATGCTGTGTTCTCATAAAGATGTGCATTGAAAGGGAGCAAAGAGAAGATGGCAGAAAGGCTCTTTTTGCAGAGTATCTCCTGCAGTTACTGGAGATTTGGATTTGAAAGAGAGACACTATTTCCAGGAACAACTCATTGAGGGGATCAGCCATAGGGAGGGTGAACATTAGGTACTATAACTCATGTCTCTGATTTGGTGTTTCTGTGAATATTAATGAAAGATTTTGAATATTCATTTGCTTTATGTTTCCAACTTAGAGTTAAGTAGGAATTTATGTGTATTGCTAGTTATATGTTCCAAATATTATTCTTTAGCCTTACAATGTTCTATTGCTTTTCTGCTTTCCACAGTACTGTTTCACATGCAACATAAATGTGATGGCAATTTGATGCTATGGACCTAAAGTCATTAGTCTTATATACCATTTCTAGTGTATGGACAATTGAACACATCAAGTTCTAGTCCTCTTTTTTCCTTTTTTTTTAATTTTTATTTTTTTATCATTCCTATGTGCATACAATGCTTGGGTCATTTCTCCCCCCTGCCCCCACCTCCCCCTTACCACCTACTCCACCGTCTCCCTCTCCCCCCGACCCCCTCGATACTTGGCAAAAACTATTTTGCCCTTATCTCTAATTTTGTTGTAGAGAGAGTATAAGCAATAATAGGAAGGACCAAGGGTTTTTGCTAGTTGAGCTAAGGATAGCTATACAGG